GAGGCATAAACTACGTTAAGCGTATGGCAAGAGCGATATACAGTATATTAGTTACACGCAATCGCCCGTGTCTTATGAGATAAGACGCGTTACTGCGCGACCGCATTATCGGGATGAATTTACAAAGCCGTTTGGCAATCCGCACTTCACGTGCAAGGACCATAACGAACCTGTTAGTGCAGAACGCGACTACATAGTTACGACGCCCACACACGGTGGATACAGTTTTAGTCAGCAGCATCTCATGTGCGCGACCACTTTTTTTTCCCAAATGCATCTGAAAGCCAACGATATCGTATATGCTGAAGAGAAATTTGTTAACTTGACTAAACCTTTCAAGTAAATTACTATTTTGTTAATTGAACATATATTAATACTTAAATCAAGTTCAATTTAATATGTTACATTTAATTTAAATATTTTTATATGTTCAATTAACAAAATAATATTTAGTTGAAAGCTTTAGCCAAGTTAACAAATTAATTTTTTCAGTGTTACTTTATTGTTTTAGCGAACTTTTGGCTAAGTTAATTAACGGAACGACAAAGATGTCAAAGTGTGACGGACAGGAAACGACCCTTCACTAAATAGATGGTCTTCGATCGATTGCGCAGATACATCTTATTTGTGATGCTTTTTTCATTAAGATTACTTATTTATCAATAATAATAATTGGTTGTATAGATTTTTTTGACGTTTTATTTATCGTTGTTTAAACTGTGATTTTAAATATTTAATTTTCACGATGACAGAGAGTCGAGACGTGTATAGCAAATCTGTATTCACCCCATTGAAAATATTTCATTCCTCGATAATTTCATACATTTAATTGCATACTACGCGACGTGGAAATTTGTTAATTCGATAATGCCACACAGTTTGAACAGTTCTACATTTATTCATTAATTGTCCCCGAAACTGATAGTACATACTCACGAGAACATATCGATATGCATTTTGTATTGCCATAATATTGATATTATTTAAATGAATATTAAATTTCATATATATATATATGTATATATATGTATACGAACGCTTTTGTGTACCAAATTGGATAACTAAAATATCGCATGAAACTTAACAGCACATTGATATTCAATTTTCATCTCATCAATGTTTGTCTACATTCGTGCCCGAGAGCAATTCCATTTCACGCACCGTCAATCGGTCGTTCTGCTTCTCGGGGTAAACTGCAATCGATGTCTGCGTCGTCCTCTTCCCGCCTTGGCGAGGACGAGGAAAGGATATGAATAGGAAAAAGTTGACGATTAGGGATTTCCCTATACCTTACGCATACACGAGAGCTCGCATATGTTTGAAACGTTTTCATCTCACGAGTCTGCGAGTTTACCAGAATACACGGAAGGAGACTCGCATCCGCTTCCGTCTCGTATATAAAGATGTTCACAGGATAGCTGTGCAACGTCAGCCTTCTCTCCGCCTTCGAGTTTCCCAATTAAAGAATTACCGAAATAAATATACTCGATGTATTTGCAATTAATTAAAAAGAAATAACATTTACACCCGGGACGTGAATACAATCAAAATGACGTGTCTCATCAAGTGACTAAAGGGAAACTAATGTTGCAGTACTAACAATACTCGGATTAATGACTGTACAGTAATTGGAAGACACTAATCAAGACAAGAGTCAAGTCGGTGATTGAGTTTGTACTTCGGAAACTTTGGAACCCGGATTGCTGTTTCTCGTGTCATCGTTGTGTCGAGTTCTATCCTGTCTTTGGTATTCCGAGTCTTCGACCGGAGACTCAACCATTAGAGACTCGAAAGTCGGCCCCGGGATTAATTCAGTCCTTCCGAACACCTACGTAGAAATGGAAGACGGTAATCCGACACTCGGCTGTCATCCCGGCAGGAAACGGACAGGGAGAAGAAGGAAGAGGAGGACGTATACGCGCGAGCGTAGGGAGATGAGGGATATAAACTCGCTCGCGACGACGACTGGAATTCGCTCGTCGATATATTTTATTGTCGCGCGCGGGATCGTAAAAGAGCGAGGAGACGCGTCTTCCGGCGTAGATATACGTGTCCACTTTACGCGCGACGATTATAATAATAATCGGGCGACGCACCGGGGAATTATTAGCGCATCTCGATGCGTTTTAATCCACGTCGGAAACGGCGACGTCGGCGGCCGACGATAAATCGAACACCGCATTTCGAATTAGCGACGGGGGCCCGGGCAATCGTTGCGCGATGATTGCTTTCGATTTGATCCGATTTCGAGTGCCGACGAAGAGGATGACGACGACAACGAGGAGGCGAGCGTAGAGAGAGAGCGATCCGATGGGGTCAGTGTTGCATTTGCACGCTCCATAAACGATTAATACGCTCTCTCGTCACGTCCCACGTGTCGGGTAACGTTGCAACCTAGTGCGAGATCGACCGTTCTTTCTTTCCGCGACAGGGAAAGGTCCTTCCTCTCGAAGTCGATATTCTCTTTGCCCGCTCTCGAAGGGTTCCCATGAGAATATTATGTTCATTTGCATGCATTCACGCATACTTGGCCGTGACATATATTCGCAGATGTAGATCTTCTCATACTTATCGCATATAATCTGCAGATTCATTAAATTCATCCATATATATATATATATATATATATATAATTTTTTTATATTAAAAAATGTATGGATATCCTTCTTGCTTTTTGGCTTTTTTAATTAAATATAGTCTAATCATGAATTAATAAAAACAGAAAGTTTGTGTCAAGTATTATGGCAATTTAAACAATAAGAATAAAAATAGAAATGTTTGATAAAACAAAAAAATATGTGGCACATGGTTTTTTTAATTTATCTAAATAATTCGTATTCAAATCTGTTATAAAATTGCAGCAGTTGTTCTGCAAAATACAACTCGTATTTTTTATATTGGACAGATGGTTTTTACACATATACAATTTTGTTAAATTGCATTCACGTACACTTATATTATTAGCTGAAATATTTTAAGAGTTTAATATTTTTTAATAAATGGAAAATCGGTCTCTCTTTTTGCTTTTTTCAAATACACGGGATTACACATATGCAATATATATGTAATAATAGTTATCGTGTGTGTGCGTATATATATATATATATATATATCAATTAAATCGTAAAATCAATAATCTCAAAATACCAAATATATAATATTAATATCTTTTAATCGCTTATTGCTTTTAAAATATATATTGAAAAACATAAATTGACGTGGAAAAATGGCAAAAAAGGAACTGGTTTGATCACTTACATATATTATTAGCGATTACAGATGCATACGTCTTCATGAACCGGGCTGATGCGGGTCCCTGACTTCGAAACAAATCCAATCGATCCCAAAATAGATGTCGAAAGCGATGTGTAACGAGGATGCAGAAGGTTGGATGGTAACAACGAGGGGGAAGTTGTGGTACGCCATTAACACCAATTGTGGTTTCATCAATTTTCATTCGCATGGCTTTTGGACCGATAGCAAAGGTGTCAAGCGTGACGCTCGGCAGAGCGACGATCTTCTGTCAGCTACGTTGATAGCTGTATTCTGTGACGTATCAAGGACAATCACGACTATATTCGTGAACGGACACGATCAATAATTATTTGCCAGCTCCCAGTAGTCCAGAACAATTAGGCTCGCAGAGCATTATTGATTCTGTTCGAAGAACATGCTATTAAAGCAATTAGTATAGCTCACATATAATTTACAAGCTCGATAATTTAGTGAATTAAACAATAGCCTAGTAACAATTAATTAATTGACCGATATTAATTTATCAACAATATGTCTATGAAAATACATCGCAATCGTGTAGAAACTGATGACCTCGTCCGCTACTATATAAAAAATAGTATATACGACGCGCATTATTAAAAAAAAAAACGTCAATTAGTCAATTCCACGAATGACGTTAAACTTAAACACTAATTAACGCGCGTCGAGAAAGTTCCGAGTTTTCGTCTGCCGCAATATTCCGCCAGTTAGTTCCCGACGATAAACAACAAACTACCTTCGCGTCTCGCGGTCCTCCGTATCTTTCGCACGTCGCCGCGTTACTTCTTCGGCGTCAAAGACGACGGTAATTGCGCCTCCTGCGCAATATGCGCTACTTACGTATCTCTTAATTAATTCGTGCCACGACCTGCGTCCGGGGAATTATTTCCACATCGCCAAACGCGCACCCTCTCCTGATCCTCTCGCCCCGTTGCTTCGTCATTTCGTTCCTTCTCTCCCTTATTCACGATCCATCCTTACGTCGTCCTCGCTTTTCGTAAGAGACGCCTCTCTCTCTTTCTCTGCGACGGCGCAGTTTCGAGTTTAAGCAGAATTTGCCGTCGAAGGAAGCTTATCTAATAGTCACGGCTGCCGCCGCTCATAAATCAGGTAATATCAAACACCTACAGTAACTTATTAACGATACCCTGACATTAAAGATCTAGCTTTTTATCTAGCACCAGCAAAAGTATCACTTGTTGTAAATAATCGTATATATTGTATATCAGACAGTTACTGATGTACACGATCAGACTAATTGCTTCTTTTTAATCTGCTCTCTCAAAAATAACAGAAAATAAAATATGATAGTTTTATAAATTATCAGTGTAATATCAGTTCATATATATATATAATATAGATAATATAAATATATATTTTTGTAAAACAATATGTTTGAAATGGTGTCGTATAATTTATTCAAACATTGTATCTCTCTATAAAACGTCAAACGTATAGGTATCTCGTTTTATTTTAATTTTATTTTTATTAATTTTTGATGCATGAGTAAAATAATAATTTATTGCAAGATAACATATTTAATAAAGTAATATTAAATTTTTGATAGAAAAAATAAAATAATATGTTGAAATAATCAATATCACCCTTCGATGATAATGTGAAATTTAAGTAATACCTATAGCATACAAATACTTTACATATTTCACATTCTCACGTATCCTCCAAGATTTATTAAGGTTGTATTAAATGGTTTATTCTCTATCTCTAATATCACAAAAAGCACATATACATATATTTAATTAATTCACATTCCGCGGATCACATCTTTCTTTGTATGTCGCTGCCAAAGAAAGATATCTGATATAATAATATTGTAAATAAAATTATAAATAAATTAATATTAAAAGAATGGAAAGAATACTTGTGTCGTGGACGATTTTCCCATCTTTTTCCACACTCTCGAAAACGATAGAAAGCTAACGGCATTCTTGCACGGTGCATCTCTTTCGAGACGCGGCGCTAATTTTATCCCGTTATGCTTGATGAAGCGAGCGACACGTGGCGATATAAGTATCCCTTAAAACTAATGAAGTATGATGCACGTAACGTGATGTCCTTGTCTGTATAATGCGCTGTCCTGTTATAATATTATTTTCGTAACAGCTTTATTTTACCTGTGAACACCGCGTAGTATCTTATATTAACACGTTCCGACGGAATTCTTGGCAATTTCTGAAGCAACAACAATATCAACATTATTAGATACAATATCAAAATTATTATACAAATGTGTGCATATTTAATGTTGCTCGAAATATTTTTGTCTCCTCTTACAAGTCTTCATTTACATTGTGTGTGAATCTCAGAAAAATACTTTTCCCAAATATACTATGTATATCTCCGAATATAGTGACAATATTCGATCGAACTTCGTAATTAATGTCATCGGTCTCAAGGATAATCATTTTGTAGTTTACATCTCAATTGCTCGCAGATCGGTTGCCGCTGCCAGTGGAATCCTGTCTGACAATATTGATTCTCTTTGGCAGTAAGACACCCTGAGCAATGCCATAGTGTTCATACGCATCTTTGCCATAAGTCATGGTCACCGCCTCGATTTGGTGAACAGGTTTATTGACGTTCAACGACGAATTCGCCGGCGAGGGCGACGAGGACGTGCCCGCGATACTCTGCAGAGCGTTGAAGCTCTGCATTGCCAAGTGAGAGGCGGTGGACATAGCGAAAGCGTTCGTCGGTGTTGTAATTTGCGACGAGCTTTCGACTCGGCTAGGAAGAGCGTTATTCGGATGCTGGGGCTCGGCCAGAATCGCGTTACCCGTCATCGGCATCGCGGATGCTCTATCGGTCCGAACGGCAGGTGGAACAGCTGATCTAGCCGCGCGCGATGACGTAACGACGGTGCTGTCAGTTCGAAATGTCATCGGGTGCGACGACGTTCTCGTTGATGTCTTCGTTGACATTTGAGAAGATGGGTTCTCTGACTTGGTTTCCGGTGCTGGCAAAACTGACGCGGATTGCGCTCTTCTCGTCGGGTCTCGACTTCGATTCTCGGGCGATCGCGCATCCGCAAACGGCGCTGTATGAGCGCGATTCTTCCTGACTGGGATTTGCGGGCTCATCGGAACTCTGCTCTCAGCTCTGGCTTTAACTGGGTCCGGATCGCCCGACGTAATTTTCGGCGATGACTGTTCAGCAGAGATCGGTAACTCATCTCGAGGACTATCGACGTTAATTTTGGCGGAAACCCTGGCGTTCTGGCCGTTGGCGCTTAACACGGGAGGAGCTCGAAGATCGCCGGGGGGTAAATTGTTCGTCGTTGACGATACGTCGGAGGTGGTAACATCGGTGAGATCGCTGCCATTTCTCACAGCTGCGGCGAGACTCGGATCGCCGTTGGGGAAACTGGCGAAGCGTGCGATCGTTTCTCGCTCCTCCGCCACTTGAGGAGCAAAAGGTATTTTCCTTTCGACGGGCTTTACGGCCACTTTGTTTTTCGACGCGACTCTCCGGGCCGGCCCGACCCTGCTGTCTCTTCTATTTCTAAGATCCTTCGTCGTCGCGCTCGGACGTCTCTCCGGGAAATGTCTGCCTCTCATGGGGACCGGCTCTGCCTCTTCACTCTCGTCCCCGTCTTCATCTTCATAGAATTCCGAGTCCTCGCACATATCCGACTCGTCTCCCTCGGTTTCCTCGTCGATCGTGCTGGCCTGTATCCACTCCCTGATGCGATCCTTTTTCTTCGAATGGTCCACCGTCGTCTCGATGCCATACGTCGTAAGCGTATGGAGGAGTTGATTCTTCTCCTCCAAGGAACTATGGAAGCTGTACATAGACGGGCAGAGCTCGTCTCTCTCGTCGGCACCGCCTGCGGGAATATAAAACGTCGCATAAGACATCGCAATATATATATAGTATATATATTGTCGCGATGCAAAGTCAACTCACCGTTCAATGCTTTTTCGGCCCCGAGTTTCGCCAGCCATCTGTCCTCCAAATATTTATTTACCTCCAGCACGCTGATTGGTCGCTTGTCAACCTTTGGATCCAGCAGCCTCTTGAACATTCTTCGAAAATATTAAAATATATATATATATATATATATATATCCGAAGCGAATTAATTAATTTTTTCATTCATTCATATGCGTTCTTCATCATAACGGAGCAAGATTGTAATTGAAATTTTAATTTCTATTGTTGTTTGTCACGAATAATGAACTGGGACTGTTGACAAGATAATTGAATAAGAGAATAATTCAGTCTAGATTATAAACACTGACAGCTATATATAACTGCATTAAATTCTTGGAATGCATGCCGATTGTGGCGCTTAATCTCGCATTTTCTCTCGGATTCCCGAGTGGTAACCCACCTCTGCGCCCGCGAGCTGATCAGCTGAAATAATTTCGGTTTCTTGGCGATGTTGAGCGTTGCGTTGTGCCAGTTTTGATATCTCGTGTACCGCGGATCATCCAATGCCGCCTTCTGCCACGGCAGGCATCCGGTCAAGCAAACAAATAGGACAATGCCGAATTGCCAGACATCGTGCGACGTGCGAGCTCTGAAAGTTGACCGTTCGTCGCCGTTAGAGTAATATATCTTTAGCGACCGAGAGCTATACATTAAGTACCATTCATACGACGCACGAGAGCGCGATTTTTCCCCGCGGATGTCACGCTCTTGACATCTAACCAGCAAATTAAATTGCGCTTATTTAAACAGAGTATTGTGGAAAAAAATGGCAAAAGCTTTAAAAAGAAGGTAAAAAAAATCAAGCACATTTTTTAATTAAAAATAGAGTTACAAAATCATCAAAGGGATTATACACTCTCCTCTTAATGCATTCACATTAAACAGTATCATCATAATGTTTTATTTTGTCTCTACTAATCTGTTTATTTTATCTTCTGCTCTTTATCCCTCTTTCTTAATTTCCAAGGATAGATATCTTGCGTAACGTTAATAGCGCATTATAATTAATCACAGGATATCAGTATAATTACTTGTACGTCTCGTCAGTGTCGATCCGCAGTACCTCGGGCGGCGAGTACGGCAGCCACTCGTTGTGCCTTCGCACGACGGTGTTGACCCGCCTGGTCTCGCCGAAGTCGCAGAGCTTGATGCGCGAAAAATCGCTGCGAAACACGAGTATGTTGTCCAGCTTGATATCACGATGCACCAGCTCGCGGCTGTGTATGTGATGCACCGCGGCGGCGAGTTGCCTGGCCACCCTCTTCGCGTGAAGCTCACCCAGCCCGGTCTCTGTCACGTTTGACGTAAGATCGCCTGAAAATCGACGACTGAGGAAAACCGCGACTAAGACGTATTCGCGTCATTCAACTGCAAATGCCGCTTCCTCGGCCTTTGTAATGACACTTTGAAACTACACTCGCTTACTTGGAATAGTTGGAATAATCGCTGAATTATTTCAAGCCGCATTGTTCAGTCTCGTTATTTGTATATCGCAATTATTCAGCAAAAATACTCAAGTGCAGCTTATTATTCCGTTTCAAGGAAAATGAAGATTAATGTTGCTCGAATTCGAGTAATGAAAAAGTAATTTTTCAGATCAAATAAATAATATAAAATGTTTAATATAAAAATGATTTTTAATATAAAATTTACCTTTCAACAAAAGCACCCTTAACTGATTTTCTTTTCAGATCTGCAATATATGTTATTGCAATATATTGCAATGTATGTCTTAATTGCGATAATTAAATAACTTTGCTGTGATTCGCGCGTATAAATTTAACTATATCTGTCAAAATGAGAGCTACAAGCGGTACAGCTTACTCTTAATTAAGTAGGAAAATAAATTGCACTAGAAATTCGAGCGTAAAAAAACCTGAACGAGCTCGCTTAATTTATAAGAAATAAAAATGCAGAGCGCGCACGTGCGAGCGAAGAAATTAAAAATTCTCTCACCGAGCGGAGCATATTCCTGACTAAATACGTAAAAGCCGGCCGTCTCGAAAGCCACGTCGTAAGTAGTTATGACGTTCCTGTGCGCCGACAGATGTAATCCATAATGAAATTCGCGAAAGAAGTCCGAGATGCCGGTGTACGCCTTCGGTAGCGCCTTCAACACCATCTCGGTTTGCGTGCTGCGGTGTTCGGTCAGCAGGATCTTGCCGAACCAACCCTCTCCGACGATCTGCAGGATGTCGAACTCGTCCATCAGATTTACCTGGTTCAGAAAGCGATTATTTCTCGAGGCGTTGTCCTGCATAACGCGGTCGTGAGATCGATTCGAGAGTCACGTCGTTGCGGATCCCGAGGATATGAGGATGCCTAGGTACTTTCGCAGTCGAGGCGCGACCGATACTCAAACCCGAGAGACCGAGCTTTGGAAAAGCTGAAGAATCCGAGCTTCGGGACAAAGAATACGCGAGAGCACATACGACGGCGTCGCGAGGGAAATACAACTCCGAAGGGAGGCGTCTAGGGATATCCCGCGTTATCCGCGCCGCAAGCTGAATACAACGTCGACGTTCTCCACTCAGCGCCGATCTGTACGCAACATCTATTTTTACTCCGACGCACGCATCGAACGCACGTTTCGATCCCAATGCGAACTCTACACTCCTGCGACTGAGACGGTTTCTCCTTAACATGGTTTCATTGAACCACATATCTTACTACAACGCAAACATTATCGTCTTTCGAACTGATAGACGTGGAACGAATAAAAACTGCGAGAATTTTCTTAAGAAAATTTATTTTTTTTTGCCAATATTTTTGAAGAAATCACTAAATGTCACGATTAAAAATATTATGGAATGTTTAAATTAAATGATTAATTGAAATAATGAAAAAGTTATAAATAAATGAAGTTCTTAAGCTCTGCGTCATTATCAAGAAAATGATCAGAGGAAAACTCCGAGTCTGATTCAGTATTAAAATGTACAAAGTCACAAAGCGAGCGACGACGAATCACAGTCGTAAAACGTCGTCGTCGTCGTCATCTTAGATCCGTCGTTAGGAAAACATTGATGCAATGCCAGACATAGGAGAATGGCCGTTAGTCGAGCGAGCATAATGAAATACTGCTTGTTCGCGAATCCTATTTCGGGATTCTCAATGTCTCGAAACTGGAAAAGTTTCGTCCCGCCGTTGTTTAGGCTTTATTCTCGACAGACGCGTCCAGGCTTTAGCGAAATCCGATTGCAACCGATTTTCATAAGAAATACGATAGAAGAAAAGGAAAAATGCATTACCTTCTCGAGCTCGAATTCACGTATTCTGTGAATGGATCCGCCGATCGCCTTCTTCATTCCGCTCATGTCGATAAGCTAAATCACTTCTGCTTATCACTGAGAGAATAAATTTCACTCTGTTCGAGATACACTTAATTGCGATTGTCAGCGATGTCTTACATCTTGTCGTTTATGAATTTTTCGTTATCTCACGGGTTATTACCCCACGTTTTGAAAAAATTCCGCTTCTTGAAATGCAGCCAAAATATTTCTGCAAAATATTTAATCGATTTATGAGAATAATATTATGATTCGATATAAAAATAATAAAGATTGCAAAGCTAGAATGTAATCGCGTGATAAAAGGATTGTTCGATGTAAATGCGCAATAACGAGATAAATAGAATTGAATAACATGAGAATCTAATGACGCGATTTTATTCCCAACGAGAAATTATTAATGGCTCAAAATCGCTGTTTTACGAGTGCGTTCTGTCGGTGCATCTCATTAATCAAACGCCGGCTAGTATTTTTGTAGCAAGCATAATTGTTATGCAAGACGCCGGGAAAAAGCTACAAGTTTCACGAGGAATTCTACACGTCGCGTTGTATATATGTATAGGTATATTTTATTTGGCAAATTGCATCATCGACAATAGATGCAAGATGAACGTTTCTAGCAATTGGAAAGCGAACGTATTTATGCGATTTGCTGACGCACAAAAGCGTTGCAAAATATTTATGAATAATAATTCAATTATAAGGAATAATTTCTGATTTCCGGCAATCTTTTATTTGCACGATAAAATCAACGTATATGTGTATGTATGCTTTTTTCTCTTTTTCACAAAATATGCACCGATTTATTAATAAGGTTTATCCCGCGTTTAATTTATCTATTTTATATATATATATTTTACAATATTAAAATTATTTGATTTTTCTAAAAGGCAATAATATCAAATTAAATTAATCGAATTCAATTCTTTTATCTGGACAAATACAAACCTTTTATTGTTAGATTATTATGTATAAGCGATATTACAATATAAGAGTCACTATGTCCACTGTAAGAGAAAACTTTTAGTACAAAATTTGACAAAATACCAGCAATAAATGCATTTTAAAATGAAAATTCTATCCATATAGGCGTATAAACTTACCATTGATAGAATTGGCAGGGAGTCGATTTTCCGTCTTTCTTGTTATTTATATAAGTGCCAATTTTCACTCTTTTCGTAATTAACAGAAACACGAACGCATTTAGAAATGCAAGATTGTCGGTGCAATTTATTGCGTGTGCTTTATTTAAATTTATTCACATGTCACAGTTCAAAGAAAAGAAAAGCACACAGGGAAAAACACAATTAATACCACGAAGGAAGTAAACACATTTCTTCTTGAGAAGAAAAAGAGGAGGAACAAGCGCGTGTAAAACTGTCGCTTTAAAACGCGAACACACGCGTGCAAGGCGAAACTGGAGAGAATATCCACGTGAGAATATATTAATATATCCTCTTTTCTCGAATAGCCGGATATGTCGCGCTCGGCCACGCACCTCGAACGATTTCACGACTGATCCGCCGTGTTCGGTGCACTGTTTGCCCGTCTGCAGTATTTATAAAACGTGAACCGGAAAGCGCGGCTGCCGAGCTGATCTTGGCGCCTTGCCTTGGTTTGCTCGCGCGCTTGCTAAGGGCGCGTGTAAAGTTGTATTATATACTTCCGAAACGAAAGACTATTCTATTCGAATTTTCAGACATTTTATATTCCATCATTTTATTAGAGTTCTTTATAAAAGTGAATTATTTAAAAAATTAATTAATTACAAAATTTAATAAAAAAAAATTTATGCAAAAAGAGTTTTTATTAAAAACATATTTAATCAATACTAATTGTAAGTGTATTTTTTTACCTAATCGACATTAAGATTTATACAGCTGCGGTTTTAAAATTTATGCGAGTATCAAATTATAATATGAGTATAACATGCTTACATTAAATAACATCAAAGTGTTGGTTTTTATAATGCAATTTTTTTTATAATGTGAGACTGTAAGCTCTGTGATCTGCGTTTAATTTATGTGCGAAAATAATTGTACGTATAATGATAATAAAAATGATAATATGTGAGAAGAAAATGAAGTAAAAATTATTTCTTACATAATTTTACTTAGAGAACCTCTTTATGATTGCATAGGGCATAGGACGTATAATAATAATTACAATATGAAAGATTAATAGCTCTTTTTCAGAAATTTTCTGATTTGCATATAATAGATTTCTATAGCGCTTTTTAGCCGTAACACTAAGGTGACTATTTTTTAAATAATTTTTTACACATGATGAATACAATAGATTCCACATGAGATTTATGGACCAAAAAAATTTTGCAGTCACGGACAGTTTCCGTATCATCTGTATATTTATTTTACATTGTATATACATGATTCGAATTTACAAACGAGCAATGAAATTAAACATTCATCACGTCATCCGAAACGTGTGACGCTGCGTAACTCCAAAATCAACACAGACGGGTTTGCAATATTCATTGGATATTCTGTTCAAATTTTACCTCTGTGACACGACTTGCCATACATCAACGAAAAGAATAGATTTTAACATACTTGATTGCATTTGAGATTAACATTTTTCGTAGTAAATTTTGTAATTTATTTATTTTTTAATAATTCATCTTTATAAAGAATTGTCCTTTTGATTAGTATATACATATATAATGTATAATGTCCTATGATCTTTCACATCTGACTCTTTGTCAGCTTTATTTTTACAATTAATTGTAAAAAAAAGCTCAATTATTTTTAAATGTAAAATATGTATATTAAAAATAAATATGCAAATATGTTAAGGTTTTTGAAAAATAACACATTTTTCAATGCAGTTAAATATCATCTTACGACATCACGCGGCAATTTATTGAACGTCATCACCAGGAGTAGACCGACCGAGGATGTTATCGTTTACTAAATCTATATTTAAAAAATCTATTTCAAAAATTTCATTTTACTATAAATGTAAGATATATATCAAGTTTTAATTGCGTTTCAAATATTTTTTCTTTTTTATTCTTATATGAAAACATAAATTATCTCTATCATATATATAACTTTTAATTACAATAAGAAAGATGCAATTAGCAGCATTTTTTACTTACATGCAGCAAATATTGATTCAACAAAAATGAATTTTTATAATATCGTATTTGTAATTGCAAATATACGATGACGTGAGCATAAAAAACAAATTCAATGATTGATAAGACATTACCTTTCAAAAATTGTTGCGAGCTAACGCTCTCTCAACAAATATTGATTATTATCAATGTAATATCGTAAATCGATACTCAAGTATTGACAATAATATAATATTATTTATTTCAGTGTATTTTCAAAAAAATGAGCAAAAAATAAAAAGATTTTCTATTTTCTTAATAATCGTAATATTAATATAGAGACGTTCTTTAAGCAAACACGCACAAAGATAAAGAAAATGATTAAATTTGAATATATATACTATTTAATATTTATATATATTCATTTGTGTATTATTAATTATTACCATTTTATGTATACCATATTTGTGAATAAGTGTAAACAGATTTCATAATGAGCTTCATATGATTATCAATACTTGGGAATATATTTTTCTATAATTAATGAATAATGAAATAAATCAACTACCATTTTTCTTGCGTAGGAACCTCTTATATATATATATATATATATGCACCCTTATTTTTCTAGATTTATATTATTACATAAATGTACATATATAAATTTATATAATAATATAAATAAATATAACATAAATATGTGCAAAGTTGATTAATATATCTCTGAGAGATTTCAATTGAATTCCATTTCCGGAAAGAAACACTTCATATTTTCGCGCCACTCGTTCACAAGAGTCCGCAAATCGGTCGCGAGATGACAGCTGCATCGAACAGCCGGCTAGCGCCGCCAGCGTCCCGAGTTCGGAGTATCGTCGACTGCGTCGAATACGCTCTCTGACGCTCTCGGGTTTCTATCCAGCTTTCTCGTGTGACACCGTGTCGCGAGTGTGCGTGCGCCCGTCTCGTCTTCGCGGGACAGTTTCGTCTTCGTTCAAGGAAACAGAACCGAGATTCCGAGTGTCGAGGATCGACCTCGGGAATCCGTGTCGCGGCTCGTGCGTGCGTGCGTGAGATCGTAGAAGCGAGTTGCGCGATCGAACCAGTGAGAGAATAACGGAAAAACGGTCAACGGGGCGACGTGTACGCTTTCCCGAGCGCGCGGCGCTCGTGTGTGTGTTTCGTGTATGTGTTGTACGCGCGCGCGTACGAATGCGAGGAAACGAGACAGGCAAAAGTGGTGAATCGAGAGGCAGGAGAGAGCGGAAAACGCGAGAGAGTGAGAGAAGAGGAAAAGTGGGAAGTGAGTATTGCGCGCGCGGCATACATCGTCATCGGCGAGGAAGCTGTCCGGAAGTCACCTTCTGCTGGCGCGAATCTCCGCTGCAAAAGATAGACCGATCAAGAGAGAGAGAGAGAGAGAAAGAAGACTCGGTCGCGAGTGGGCGAGGTAACCCGATAGAAGAAACGGGAGGAAGAAAAGTAGCGAGAAAGACAGAAGAAGAGCTGAAAGAGAGGAGGAAGACAGTCGCATCTAGAGAAAGAAGAGAGGGTGATCCGTCAGCGGTGCACGCGAGTTTCGCGAGACGGAGAACGAGAACAAGTAGTAGACCGAAGGAAGGAGAGAGAGAGAATTCGTCGCGGACGAAGGAATGTGAGAAGCGACCGAGCAGTGCCGTGTAAACACGAGTGTCTCCAGTGAAAACGAGGCGGCCCACCAGCGACGTTCGATGTCATTGCCTCTTTCGACCTCGTCGAACGGCATCCTCGACGGCTCGACGTCGTAGAGACAAGAGAGAGAGAGAGAGAGCTCGTGCATCCGTGTGGCATCGATCATCGTCGCCGCCACCACATGAATTCGCATCACAAATGACGGCGCACCGGATCGTGGGCGGATTAGCAGCGAGGTGTTGGCTCGACTCGTCGTCGTCGTCGTCGTCATCTTCGTCAGTTTAGCGGACAGAGTGGTAAGTAACGCTATCGTGTATGTATACGTCACTTCTAGGTTGTTTAATCGTCTCTTGTTGATGGTCCTCGATGGACTCTTCGGTATAAAAATGGCTTCGGGAATTCCTCGTTGCAATATATTACGATTGTATTATTTTTAAGCGGTCGTCGCACCGATCTCCACTCGATAAGATAACTTTGATTTTATGAGGCCGATATGACGTTTTGTCAATGATTGCTTTCGAATGATCGTGTAAATTATATTTGAGGAATTTTGATTGCGACACCTTGCCTTGGTCGAACTTGAGTTTTAATTAGTAGAGTGCTAATTTATTTATAGACGAACAAGATCATTTTTAACTTAATTACAGTTCATATATGTATTGTACAATATATCTTTCCATAAATTTTCTTCTTAACAGATGTATCGTGTAACGTGTAATTGTTTCATTTCAATTGTACGAAAACGCAGTTTAAAGAGAAACCTGTTTTATATGTATATATTGATTAATTCCTGCTCCATTATTCGTACGAAAATGGAGTATCATTTTCATACATTTATGCTTATCGTTATGTCAAAAGTGGCACATTATCAATACATTGAGAGAAAGACTTCGATTTTCTATATTTTCAAATTAGAATGGTCTTCTCTCAAAGTGAACATCTGGATATTTTCTCGATTAAATTGGAAAGATTCTCACATTTTGATGTGCGTCATTGTATAGCAATTTTGTCTCGCCGGTAACATCTTGGCAATATGCATATCTGCCAATGAATAATATATGCCAGAGTAGTTATTAGTATAGAAACTATATTTACGACGTTATCGCGCAATATAATATCGATCCTGCAGGAGCTCTACTACTCCGAGAACTTCTCTCCCCGAGATATTTGGGTGGGTCCGATAAATTCACGATATCTTACACGATCTATGATTTCGCGTGAGTTTAGATGAGTAAACGCAAGACAAACACAAAATGTAATTCGAGTTGAAGGGGGATTCTCCGTCTCCTTCATCGAATTGTCTATATATATATATATATTTGTATCGCTTTATACTATGTACATTGTGAAAGATTGACGAGGAAACAATAAGAGTTTCCACGGGCCGATCAATTACTTTACGAGAACTTGGTATTTCCGAAGTACTTGTAGATCGTCTCTCTCGCAAGGCTCCTTCCGATGTTGATAATTATAATGACAATGAAAGAAAAAAATTGACAATGAGTAGATTAATATTCATTTATGAATAAATGATTTCTAATTAGATCGATAGCGATAATAATTTTACATTGCATTAAACTTGCATTAAAGTACAACGCTGACATAAATATTTTATAGTTTCGATTCCTAAAAAAACAGATCAAATTGCGCATTCAATGTGTAATAATAATAAAAACAAATTGGAGAAAAATATTTTTAAAATCTTTATTATACAGAACAGAGAAAATTTTGCTTTACATCTTTTGTTTATTTATTAAATTAATAATTCTTAATACCATGTTTTAATCTATTCGCCCAAATTATTAATATAAATAAACTGATTCTATTAATTTGTAATTAATTCGAAACGACTTTGTGATTCTAGTAAAACAGAAAAAAGAGCTGTGTGCAAACTTCTCTCGTATACAAATTGCATCTCTGAAATTTGTTTCAGAGATTATATTCTTTCGTCTAAATAAACATCTAATATTTGAATAAGCCAGCGAAATTAAATACATGAAACAATAATATGGCTCTTTTGCAGAAATTGCAATACGGACAAAGTGGCATAAATGATGATACCGCAATTCTGAATTTAATAACGATGTTATATATATTGAATATTTGCATTAGATTTTGTCTGAAATATATGACGACAAATATTAATAGTTGTACATTTACTATATGAAAATATTTTTATATAGAAAATATAATTATTGATATCAGAGTATGTTTTATAATAACAAGCATATTCGTATAACAACGGAAAAAAACAATACCACGAGGCAATGGAATTTTATCAGTCTTTCTGAAAGTGTCGTGTGTGGATAAGAAATAAATGTGGTCTACAATTATCAATACATAAACGATCATATATGTAACACATATTCAGATCTCAAATATAGCACATTGCACGATAATAATCAGTATGATATCATATATATGTTTTCATCGTAAGGTCCAAAGTTTGCGTACTTGTTCATTTACGATCGACGATTTGTCATTCACGTAATTCGAAAAGACAAATAATTTCGGAGAAAATACTTTAACCCAATTTAGTCGAGATCTATTAAGATTAAGATAATTTCGCTAAAAGAGAACAAATAAAAAATCCATCCATTTAATGATGTTCTTAACTCATTATTACTCGATATTTTTAATCTTTCCACTTAATACATCCCGATGCTATTTACTTCAACAAACTTTACCGAGATTATAACTTCATCTATTTGTAAGCTTACTTATATGGACGAGGCTTTTAAAGTTTCGATAAGATGTATTTTCCAACGAGTGTTGTGCATTGCCTTATTTAATAGAAAGATGTTTTACTTTACTAAGTTAAGATTCTCTTCTAGAAGTGCTAGAGCACGCCAAGACAAGTTGAAAATTCCATTAAATTGATATAAATAGTTAACTGTTATATAATTGACCTATCGTTGAAGTTAATAAAGTTTTCTCGTCATCGGCCACGCATAGCGATGTTTCTTTCTCGTCGCAATAAAACGGACGGAAATGTAAGCCAGATTGAAGTATTCTCGGGAACGAGAAAAAGCTGACCATTATTCCCAGAAATCGCCCGACATTCCTCTGCCTCGACCCCGAGATACTTGAAAAAAATTCGGTTAAATCACAGATCGTTTCTGCTCACTAATTCTGTTCGCGAACTGTCTGGTTCTTTTCAAACAACATTTATTTTATTTTTCGTAGATGTCAGTTTCCCTTCACAAGTATTTTCATCTCTCACATATTTTCCTTAAAACATATAAATAAATCATTTATTAAATTAAATCAACAGAATTTTAATTAAAGTATCTCTATCTCTTTTATCTTATGAAGATATTTTGAAGAAATAAAATCAAATGACTTAGTAATTAAAATTTAGATTATAAAGTTGTATTGAAGAAAAATGTATCCGAAATTAAGTAATATAGTTTTATTATTTATTTATCTGTTTAAATTTAATTTAATTATTCATACTAAAAAATCTATTAAATACAGCAATTTTTTTGACTCTAAGGCTTTGAAAAATTATTTATGTTGAGATTGAACAGACAGGAAATAGAAAGAAATAGGACACTGTATATATTGTATTATATTATTGTAGAATGTTCTGTACGCCTATTCATGCGCTTTGTCTGTGTTTAAGCACGTGGTACTATGAGACTTTTGATATATTAAAAGATAAATATTCAATATTAAGAATGAAATATTCAATAAGGAGAACAGAATATTTGAGAATGATAAAGTATGATGATTACTTGCAAAAAAATTATATATATCAGCAAAATAAATGACGAAACATTATTATATAATAATACTAGAATGCAAAAAATCTTGAAAATCTTGAAATTTTATATATTACAATATATTATTTACCTTTAGTATCAATCGCTCGCTAATAAATGTGATAACATTAATTAGAGTCGGTAGATGCATATATAAATATTTTGTCGATATTAATATTCTCAAGAAATTCCTACACATTATTTTTAAAATATTCTTTTCATTATGAAGCATAATGCTTATTAAAATTAATTCAATAATATTTAACCAAATTTGTGTAGGAAATCTGTATATATGTTAATGAAGCACATAATAATATTTATGAATATTGATATGTTATCTAATTCAAAAGTTTTCCATCGCTCGAAGTGGGACGGACAAATTTTTAATTTGTTTCTCAAAATGAGAAATTACTTTACACGTGCATTTCCGCCACATGTGTCAACTATTGTTGTTTACTACCAAACGGCCAACGTTTGCGAACGAAACGACTAGCGCAACGGCTTTCGGAAGCGGAGATCAATCTGCTTGTCGAGTGCATTATCTCAAATTACACAGATCCGGTCGCGTCAAATAATCCGCTCGGTGCCAACTCGCACTAGTAGAAATGACACTGGCGCGTGTTACGTTATGTTATGTTTCGAGAGCGAAGAGGAAGCTAGGAAGGGAGAGGAAAGAAAACATCGAGCGTCAAAAAATATTAACGTCGCTCCTGTCATGGTATCCCCATGTCAATAAAGGATGAACGTAACATGGAAACGAGGAAAAAGTTTGCCGAGCGAAGGGACAAAAAATGCCGCGTACTATTCCGTTTTATGCATGAGGATTAACAATAGCTTCTATCGTGATATTTTCGACGTTTCTTTTATTTTTTTTAAATTTTTTTTGTATGTTTCGTCAAACACTATGAAATACGCGTACGCAGTTAGATTTGTTAAAAAAAGAAAAAACATTTTCGTTAAATCTTTACGTAAGAAATTTCTATATTCTTAATATTAATTATAATTATATCGATACTGTCTTTCCGCAACTGTATTTATCAATGTTATCTAATGACATCAATATGTCATCAAACGAGTGAATCAATGCGAATGCGAATTAAATTTATAGAACTGTCAGCAGTGTCTATGAAAGATCGGAATGTATTTCATATAAGGTTTCTATCAGACTCTAGAAACGTAATCTTCGATGACTTCTACCGCTGCGAAAGTTTAATTGGATATTATCGCGTTCTTAATTGGATTTTCCTTGTGGCTTCTGTCTTTTTATTTTTCGCCAACGTGTCGCGTCGATGTATTTCTATATACATATACTTTTTGGATAATTTCAAGTAAATAAAATCTTACATAAAAATGTTTTTTGTATATATGCAACGCAATGCAATTCTTTTATTTAATCATTTTACATTCTTTCCATTTTTTTCTATACAAGGAATCGATTTATTTATTAACAATAATAATACTAATTTGCGATAAACCTATTTTCTCTTGCAGTATACTAGTCTCTATGTTAAAGTTCTTTTTCGAAAGCGAAG